GAATTGAACATATTTGGCTGGTATTCGGGTTCCAGTTGTCGGCACGCTTACAGCGTCGTATCCATTCTTTACGAGTAGTATTTGTTACATTTTCCTTGGGAAAGTTATGATAAACCCGGATCATTACTTTTTGTAAAAACACGGCTGTTACTACAACCAAAAATTGCACAACGGCGCCCCGGCATCGGGTAATTGTAGTAAACTTTTTAAATAGTGTTGATCACAAATTCGGGTGACAAGACGGGTGGAAAACCGTTAAAAAATAAAAACCTGTTACCGTTAATATGCGCCTTGGTCCGCGCGTACGTCACACGTTGCTATAGCAGTGGTAGGGATGCTGCCAACATTACACGTACAGGAATCGAGCAATCTTATTCATTATAACATCCTTGGAAATGGTATACATCGATGTCTTCCGATGTATCGTATCTCCGGGAATCGATTTAAAGAATTCGATGTATGTAAACGTACATCGATATTTCTTGGACATCGATATTTTTTCCCATGTCTATTTTGTGCAGTGCACGTCTGCAGTTCTGCACGTGCACATCCGCAGATTTGATTCCAGGAATAGAAAGAAATTGCATTGCATGCAGGATCTGGATTAATATTATACAGTTTTCTACAAAGATCAGTGACAAAAGCCACGACCTCAAAAGCGAAACTACTTTATTAATTTGATTAAAAATATTAGTCGTTTTAAAATATTTATTAATATTAAGATCATTTTAAAAATTGCATTGAGCATTATAAGATAAAGATTTAATTATCTGTTGATGTATTACATAAATCTTGGGAATCGTCATTTGTCGGCAATTCTTTCCAAAATAGTTGTTTCCGACTATTCATATAAGCAGTGACTATGTATTTAAAAGACCGGCAACCCCGTATCCCTATGCGTACCACTGAGAGAATATTCGCGGTTAGAGGGCGCCACAAAAAGCGACAAAAGCCCTCTAACCTTCAATGGTTGTTACTAATACCATTTCACGGGTTGTTGTCTGAACTCGTACAGCACAACTACTGTAAGAGAATCACTGTTGCAGCCGTTTTAGTTTGAAATTTAACAAGTCGGACGGCGCGGAAAATTACCGACACTTTGCGACTCGAATCAAATAAGGATGTGGGAACAAAATCTCTCCATAAGCTTCAAACTAGTATAACTTTATTATTAATTGACGAATTAAAAATGTAATTGTTAACATATATAACACAACTTTAAAAATACAATCTGCACCATATCTACTTGCTTCGCAAATGTTTAACTTAACACGGCGTTTTAACTGTGAAGGGGTTTTTTAAATGCATATGGTCTGCATAAAATTCGACAAACACATTTCGCCAATCATTTTCATTTAAGTATTCCATTACCACATTATTATCAGCAAAGAGCGGATTTCTGTCCGGCCTGGCAAGGCCAAACTCGGTACGGCTCGTGCGGGATGGAAATTCAGTGCAGGTACAGGCTGCACTTCGTTTATTTTAAAATAGAATAACGGTGCTTCGTTGTACTTTGCTGTTAATTCCCGTTCTCCTTTACTTAGCTGTTTTAGGAATTAAGTTTTCATTCATTGTATTTATAGGATAAGTGAAGATTAAATGCACTGATCATCACCCGCTACTGATTAGCAGCGAAGTAAAATCTTCTTTTGAAAATTTGTCGGCAATGTCTTTCTTGAAGATGTGCCAGCAATATCTTTGTAAACAGCATTATTTTGTGTCTTCCCCGCCTCCCTTTCCTAGTAATAAACTTAATAGGATTAACAAATTCTCCTTATACCTATACCCACAGGTACTTTGGAATTGTACTGACAAATCGGTACAACCCCTGTCGTAGTAATTTTATGGTAGGTACTTAGGTAGGCACGTACATATTAAAAACCGGGTTTTGAGATTTCATTTTTCAAATTTCAATAAGTGGGGCAAGAACGTCGTTCTTTTCTCATTGTTAACGTCAATAAATATTGTCGGGATGTTTGAGTTTATTATATGTCTCCGCCGCCTAGGCCAGCTGCGGCGGCACCATTTGAGGTGCCGGCCGACAGTGCCGAAAGGGGCGGCTTGTATCTTAGCAGTGCCGAACATGTGTAAACGGCACTAAGAGTTGTACTGCAGTCGTCTGGACGAACAGACGTGTTTCAAAAAGCAAAGTCGAAAAAAGTAGATTAATTGAGGAATCGGAAATCTGAAAATTCTGAAACGTCAGAATTTGAAAAATTAAAAAATATTGAAGAACTGAAAAATCGAAAAGCCTAAAATTTAAAACATTGAAAAATTAAAATATCGTAAAATTGAAAAATGGAGAAATCTAAAAATCAAAAAATAAAAAAAAATAAAAATTGAAAAATCTAAAATATAAAAATCGAAAAACTAAAAAATCAACACATCGAGAAATCAAAACTCGAAAACTAAAAAAAATTGGAAAACTGAAAAATCGAATAATATAAAAATCTAAACACAGAAAAACCGAAAAATCGAAAAGTAAAAATCAAAAACCGAAAAATCGAAACATCGAAAAATTCAAAAACTGAGACATCGAGAAATCGAAAAATCAAAAGATGGAGAAATCGAGGAGTCGAAAAGTCGAAAAATCGAAAAATTGAGAAACCGAAATAGGCCAAAATCGACAAATCGAAAAGTTAAAAATGGAAAAATTGATAATTCGGGATCTCAAAAATTGAAAAATCGAAAATTTAAAAATTGGGAAAATAAAAACATTAAAATATAGAACAACTGAGAACTCGAGAAATCGAAAAATCTAGAATTTTAAAAATGAAAAATTACAATATCGAGAAGTTGAAAAATTGAGAAATCGAAATATAAAACGGTCGAAAAACTGAAAAATAATAAAAATATCATAATAACTATATCTACTATAATGGCCGTTCATTTTTGGAACGAAGTTCCTTACGGCAGGCTTGGAGGAGATAGGAATTTTGCTGCACGACCGAACTGAAACAAATGTGATCCTAAAACCGTAGCGAAAACTCCGTGGAAAAATGGCCGCCTTACAAGTGTAGGTAAGCAGAGAAAAAAATGTTGTGCCTCGGTGGGATTCGAACCCACGTCTCCTTGGTCTCCAGGCACGAATGCTTACCACCACACCACGAGACGACTTATTTATTTTCTGCTTACCGACGTGTTATTGTGCCGCCACACAAGGTTGAAGGTCCGCACACGTGCAGCTGCCTTACAAAGACACCGCCAACACGTGAAGACCGCACCGACAAAATATAAAAAATGTCCTAAACACTTTTCGTTCTCTCATCCCTTCTCTCTCTATTACCACTCCACCCCGCCAATGCATAGTATATACTCATGAATTCATGGACAAGCACGTGGCGAATACGCACATTATAGATACATTTTACTCGTGAGTAGCCACGTTTATTTTCATACAATTTCAAATCGTCAAAACAATAATAAATATAGTAACAATGGCAAAGCAGAGTATCAAAAAGCGTATAGGGAACGCGAAAAAGCTAAAAAAAATGAAAATAAGCAAGAAAGTTACGATATAAAGCAAATATATCCTCTAAACTAGTGACAATATTTAAAAAGTTTATTGATTATTTTTTTAAATAATTAAAACAAATTCTCCCTTGAATTCCAAACATTTAAATATATATATATTTTGATAATTCTACCTATTTTACGTAATTTATTATTTCCTAAAATACTGAATTTCCTAAATATTTTCCTATTTCCTATTGTACTTAAATAAAAACTAATCAGCAAAATTTAAGAGAAAAATCAAGAAAACCTACATAAAATTGAGCACGTTTTTTTTTTGCAAATTGTGTCGATTCTACATTAACCGAAGGAACTTCGTTCCTACCTGGTGTCCCACGACACCACATTTCTTTTTTTTTTATTTAAATAAAGGATGAATTTAAACGCATACACCAGGCATCCTCCAAAAATTGGGATTTACTGGCATGTTGTCAACATGTGCTTATCATAACAATAATAATTAAAGAAAAGCTGAAATTTGGTTAAATTTGGACAAAAACCTTTCACCAGTCCACCGTTCATTTGGGGATGGGCTATTTTGCTTTAACGTAATCGCACTGGCCACAAGTCTGATGAGTTGGTGTTCGTCCAGACTACTGTTAACGTAGTTCACAAGAAAAAAGGAGGGAGAGCCACTATCCACTATTACGTTTATGGATGGAGTGAAGTGAGGGGTAAGACGGAGCATTAGCCCCGCACTTGTCCATAAGGTTGCCTCTCTTTTAACTCTATACTCACTGATATAAGGATACAATGTATTACCCAGATAACACTCGTAGCAACAATGGATGTCAAATGTATGTAAGTTCCTGCAAGTATGTGCATCCATTGTAAATACGTTTTAATACAATGGATGTTCATTGGTTCATACGTTTGTCGCTTTTTTTGTACATTTTATGTCCATTTGATTTCCAGATGGTATCCATTGAAATGTTCAATGTACGTACATCTCTGTTACATGGATATCCATCCATGTATAATTGATGTATGTACAATTAACTTTCAAATGCATAGCTTCTGGAAATCATATGGATATCAAAAAGATATCCATATATGTACATATAATACATCGTAACTTACTTTTGGTCGTACATTTCACAATCTAATGGGGGTTTAAAACAATCTGCCTTGGAATTCACAATTTATATTAAAATATAGAAAAAACAAAAATTAATATTTTTTAATACATCCACTAACTAGTCTTTCAACTTGTTTAAGACATTGGTATGCCTTTCTTTGGCTGGCGCCATCCACTTCTTAATGCTTCTTATTATAGTATCGTCTGGAGCATCTTATGTTCTTTTATTGAGACGAATTGCTTCTAAATACACAATTAGATAGATAGTTAAAGTAATTTTGTGGAAAAGATAACTTACGGAGCATGGCTTCAGATATGTTTGTGCGTTTGAATGATTTTTTACCCCTAGCCCCTTCCCAGCTAAACTCTTGCCCTAGGATATTAGTCATTAATTTATACATTAACTGTTTGGCCATTAATTCAGGCGATTCCCCTCCAGTACGACTTAAATATCGCGCCTGAAAATAAAGCATGGTTGACTTCCATTAAAAACATTTGCAAAACATATATATACTAACAAATGACAAATGACTTCAAATTGTTTGCGGTGCTCAAATATTCCTCCACTTTGTTGAAACTGTTAAAATCACCAAGTGGTAACAGTGATACGATTTCCTGTAAGAGTGGATCATCATCAATATCATCTCTCTTCAAATGTCCAGCACTTTTTAAAAACATCTGCAAGTTTAATAATTCTAAAATGAACATTCAGTCCTCCTAATAATACAAATAAAAATATTCACCTTCAGGTTTACGTAAAACTGGCAATAAGGACCCTGATGGTTTACTTATCGGTGTAGTTTGTGAAACGGACGACTTGGACGTTTCACGGAAATCTATATATCGCAACATAATTAAATCATTAAAACTACATTTACCTGTTTTGATTTGTTTTTTAATGATTTTTCTCGGACTAAGACTTGTGACCTTAATAATACATCGTTGAATTAATGCGCCACTTTTGTTGCACACAGTATTATGTTACAGTGAAACCTGGAGTTTTCACTGTAAACCATACTCAAAACAAAACATAGAGTACCTTCTCACCAGTATGAAGTTTCTTGTTGGTGTTGCTAATTTGTCAATTTTGTGGCTTCATCAACAAAATCGTACATCAGCGCATTAGAATCATCAGGATTTTTATAACCGTGATATAGCCCACACAGAAAAACATAATTTTCTAGTTCTTTCAAAGATTTAATACTAGCAAGTATTGGCCAAAACTGAGAGCAATTGCAATTTGTTAGTGGTAGTCCATCGATATTTATCGCAATTTCTATTTTGTCATCGTCATTTAAGTTTATTTTCTTTTTTGCAAATAATTTAGAAATACTTTCATGGATCCCAAAATAGTAAAAACTGCCAGGACTCAACGTTTTGACGAATGTTGTCCGCGGTGTTTTAAGCAAAGTTCTTGCGGTTGTTGGTAAATATTGCATACCAGCGTTTGTTCGTAATATGGCGAGTAATTTGTACACATGATTTTGAGCTATATTATTCTCAACGACGCAATTTGCTAATTCGACACGAACAACTTGCTCATCAGTCATTTTAATATTTGCAGGCATTGTATCACTATTTCGTTTTCATGATTATAATTCATTATTTCAGAACTATCATCATATATATTATATTTAGTATACGGAGTAAACAATTTGGTAGGTTCATTTGTTGGACATTCAGTGCCTGTTTCATAAGAATAATTGCGCAAATTTATGTAATCATCAGATTCATTTTCAAGTAGAAGTAAACTAGCTTCCAATTTTTTTTTTATTATTCGCTGATTTTGTCGAGCTTTGGATTTATTTTTCATATTTTTGTGTATTCTCAGTTATTTGTTTTCAGTTTTAAACGTAAAATTCTGATGCAAGAGTTATGACACCTAGCTGCGGAGGTGATTTTACCGTATCACTGCTTAACCTATAATAAAATAAAATCCACTATTTACTACGTAAAATATAAAAACGCAAACTCATTAACTTGAAATTTCGGCCTCAACAGAAATCAACTGTTTCAAATTCGAAAACGATAATAAAATATTTTCGTTATGCACCATTCAGTTGACTGTTTACAGCAAAAATGAGTGATGTCATCAATCGTATCACGGGTACAAAGTAAGAACACGTTTGTAGGACGTTGCAAACACTTATTTCAACATTACTTACCACCGGTAAAGACAATATTTTGGTTAGTACCTTGCAGAATAATACACTTCTATACTGGTAAATGGCGGGAAGCGAAAGACAAAACGCAGAATTCCACGTGTTATATCGTGTATGGTCACACACTGGGCTGACTGCTGTGTAGCTGTTGGTTGATTCGTGCCTCGTAGGTATGCTCTGTTTAAAGCCCTCTACTATAATATCAGCTTCCATTGAATTTGTTGACTTTGACCAATTTTTATAACACTTATGATCAGGTATTTGCTTGCCACTATTTTCAGCTTTGGTACAAATTAAACAAAAAGTATTTCTCACGCCAATATATAATATTTTAGCAGTATGAAAACCTACGATACAAGCCTAAAAAATTAGTTTATAAAGTTTGTAAGTATTTTCCTAGCTCTCTTGTTAACCTACCACGCCAGATAAAGAACTATAGTTAGACTTATATGAACGTTTCGCCCATGCCCCATCCACAACAACCGTCAAACATGGTATTCCATTAATATCTACATCTCCTCGTTTTATAGCTAGTTCTGTTTCTTCTTTGACAGCTTCTTCCATCTCTTTTGACGCCACCGATTTAATATTAGCATGCAACTGATGTTGTAGTTCAAAATATGTTTTCGAAGATATATGTAGCATATTCAGTATAGCACAGCGCTCTTCTAATTGAGCAAAACTCTGACCAGTGCACAAATTTCCGAAAACCTAATAAAAATTCATGTCAGACAAAATATATTTGTTTATTAGTGAAAACAGGACATAACGTTATTTATAAAAAAAATGCTTACCGTCGCCATATTAACCTTCATTTGTTCTTCGGATGGACATTCAGAAAAAATTACCTCTGTTTCGCCACAAAAATTACATTTAAAATGTAACTCACTTACAAATCCCTTTCTAGTCTCATACTGAAATACCATATTTGAAGCATTACAATTAAATTTCGTAGAATGACATCCAAACACTCGTAGCTGATCAATTAAAAATTTCACATCAAAAATTCTTCTTCCAAGAATTTTAGCCTCCGATTCTTTTTCTTTGTCTTTTTGAACAAGATATGGTAATTCCGATTCACTATAATTGTGAATTTTGCTTTAGATGTATACACAATTTGTCTTCAATCTCTCTGCAAGGAAACATGACGAAGTGGAACTCCCGTTCGTTACCAAAAGTATTATAAATTCAATTCCAGGGAGCGAATAAGCTACCTCGAACCAACAATAACCGATAGTACCCACATTTGTGATTTTGTTCTTTGGAATGGTATTGCAACAAAAAAAAACCGATATTAAGTTTTTGGATCATAGCCGTCTGTGTTAACCAAAAAATGAAGTATATATGAACAAATATTTACCTCGAGATATTTGTCCGTTCATCATAATAGCATCAACAAATCAAACACCAATTTTCGCAGGAGCAAAACTGCTCCTGCTAGTAAGAGTTGTTTTTGATTTTTTTCGTAACGAGGAAGTAGTTATTATATGGTAGTAGTTTTGGAAAAATCCGGGAGTTACAACTCGTGACGTTTTCTTGTTTTATATAATATATAATCGATGTCATTTACCTGTCAGTATTATTATATTGTAAATAATCGACGTCTTTAACGCAATTATCTGATATTTCACTATCGTCATCCGACATATCACTGAGATGTAACAGATTATTTCTAAAACATGTATGTAAAATATATGATAAACTGCTACATACCAACATTTGTGAATACATATTCCACACTACAACAAACCTTTCTTCAATGTTATAATTGTCATTAACCACTATACCCGAACATGATGGTGAAGAGAAATCAAGACTTTTTTCATTTTGAACAGTTTCGTGATTTCTGAAAGTCATTTTCATTAATTTGAATGTTGTTCATTCGTTTTATAACTGCTGATATATAGAAAGTACTTACGATAACAGAACAGATGCTTCAGTTTTCGAAGTGGTAGTCGCACTGTCGAGTAATTTACGTTTTCTTTTGCTAAAAGTAAACAATAATAGTACGAATGCAATAATACCGATTTTTGAAAAAATAATTCCATTCGTACACAACAATATATAATATGTATGACTTTTTAAAAGAAAACAATTTAAATTACACACATATAAAATACTTACCCTTCGACAGCATTATTACTTAGTCGCTTAGCTGACAATCGCTTGGTACTCAAATACAGTTTTATTTTTGGCATTTTTGATAATTACCACAAATTTGTAACACTATCACTTTAGTACAATTGTCGTCAACGGTTACGGCCAGACTAAGTAGGACATGAAAAACCAATTTTTAAATCGCAAAAACAGAGCTTTAGGTAATTCAGTACCCAATAAATACCGAGATTACTTGAGTTCTGTAAACTCAAAGCAGTAGCCGACAAAAGAACGGAAACAATAAATTGTAAAACTCGGATGACCGATGCATCAAACATAAATTATATAGAGTACGCAAAATTGGTGAAGTTTTGAATATTCGTACTTTTAACCGCTTTGAAATATTAATATTATGTAATCTATTCATTATTTTGTTCATATAGTTTTCATTGTTTTTCTCTTTCTTCCATGAAAAGTACATATTTTCATGGCATCTTCTAATATGAAAATTTTTTTATCACCTGTTACATTTCCACCAGAGTAAAGGAAAATTCATTGCAGATATTGTAATATACATACATTTGTTTCCGCAGCAAGTACACGTGCTAAACGTCTATTTTAAAATGCGGTGAATGCAGATATTAATGTGCCTCTGTATAAAGGATTCCAAATTTAAATAAGTACACTTGGTAGCTATTTTGCGAAAAAGGTTCATATTTTTATTATTATTTTCATTCCGTTGAAATAGTTGATATATTCACGATGCTTCCATCGTGAATATAACAACTATTTGACAGCCGGAATAGGTACTTGTACCGGCTATCAAATTGCTGTGTCTCAATTAAATCTAAAGCACTGGAGATATAAGACTGTTCCTGACTTGTAACACTCCACCGATTATAATGTGACAAAAGCATTTCAAAATACGATCTCGTCGTGTCTGTGCTTTGCGCTTTAGAGTGGGAGTAGTTGTGAGCCCCCGCTTAGCGTCTTTCCTCACCTGACCCAACTGACGGCGACCAGAAATCGGCTTGCATTTTGTCCGAAAACATGCATTCTGTTTTTTCGCTTTATAGCAACATTTTGTAATTTACAACGTCGCAATTTTATATACACCGTTACGAAACATTGATCTTGCTGCCCCCGTTTGAATTTTTGAAGGCATCATTTAATTGCCGAGTTACAAACGCTTCTTTTAAGCCAATTTTATGTGATTTTATTAATTTTTATTGCAACAGTTACTTATCAGATTTAAAAAATTCGAACGGTGGCAAAATGCCACATCCTTTGACAACACTCAATTAAATTTTCAACTATTTTTAACCATTAATAAATCAATGAGACGAAAAATCATAACCCATTGCACGGGCTACTTTCGGTGTGGGTAAGACCTCCTCTTAAACGCGAATTATGCGGAAGCGCCCTTTCCGGATGATGTAATTAATAATTTAAAAATTGACAAGTCAAAAATTAAATACATTATCACAAAATCAAAATCAATTCAAAAACTTTGTTATGTTTTGTTTTATCAACTCATTAAAATTGTAGGAACAGTAATGTTCTTATGTGG